GTGTTTATTGCTAATAAATTAGACCCTTTGGAGAAGCCATTTCATAAACTCGGGCTTCGTGTTTCATCAGGGTTTCTAAACACTCGAATACAATAAAAGCACTCGGCCCGCTGCCTCGTTCTTTCATCAGTTTCCTCGTGTTTAGAAACCCTGATGAAACAGTCGCCATCGATTATGAACCATAAGTTTTGCTTTAGAAAAGATGTTGATGAAAGCAATCAGTTATCACATCAGTCCATTTTTTCTCCACTAAATCAGACTCTGCTTAGCTATTAAAATTGACATCAGGCTAGTTTGCTTAGTTTTTCCTAAATGTGATCGAAATTCGTCTGAACTTTTCATCGCCAATTTTAATTGGAAAGGTACCTTAAACTTATTGACGGTTATTTATATAGGTTTTTGAAGCGAAATAAGAAAGGTTTGGGAGGCAATTGTCAACAAGTTTAATTTTTGCGCGGAAGTTACCCTTAATTCCTACCTGAGATTTTTAGATTTTTTACGAGTGAAAGCTTTTGATTGGAAAAACTCCTATTGGACGTTTTGGTATACTGTGTTGGTGAGCATTCTCAGTTGTTTATTTGATTCTCGTCTCCGGTGCGACAAAATATAGCGCTTCTTCAAGTTGAATATCCAGCAACACTTTACTTTAAGACATGTCTTGATTTATTGAGAGTAAACCTTCATATCTTTGAGAGACACAACCAGAGCCAAAAGCTGTTTCCACAATCCCTCCTCCGGCTTTTAAACGTAAGTAATCAAGGAGGTTTTCTTATCTACGGGTATATTCTCATCACAATCAATAGGGAACTGAGATGATTTATATCTTACTTTGTGGTAATCCTCATTTTGCTTGCCTTGCGGTGTCTGAAACAAAAGTAAAAGTATTTGGCAGTGTTAATAAATCTTTTTAGTTTACAATTTCCACTTCGTCTTACAAGTTGCACACTGTACGCGAAGTATAAAAGGGATAAGTAAGGGATCAAACTGATATAAGCATCGTATTATAAATTAACAAACATGGTAAAAAACAAAAAGAAAACACATCGGAATAACGCAGCTTAATGCTTGAAAATAAAGCTGGATCGTTCCCCGGCTGCACTGAGGGTATGCATCTCTGTGATACTCTCCATAGACAGAACTTAACTGATTAGGCATTTAAAACGCCTAACATCTGTGGGATCCAACCAGCCATTTACGGTCAAATGTTAATCTGAAAGTCACGGGAAATAATTCTGAGGCTGATTAAAACGTATTGTTGGTGCAGTCAGGTCGTCTCTTAACTTCAACAAAATCTGACTTGAAAGTGAGCTAATTTCCTGCACAACTTCAACTTTCCTGCACTACTTCAACTTTCCGGCACGACTTCAACATTCCGGCACGTTTCTTAACTTCAGCAGAATCTGACTTAAAAGTGAACTAATTTCCTGCACAACTTCAACTTTCCTGCACTACTTCAACTTTCCGGCACGACTTCAACATTCCGGCACGTTTCTTAACTTCAGCAGAATCTGACTTAAAAAGTGAACTAATTTCCTTCTCGACTTCAACTATCCAGCACGACTGAAAAATTCTGGCACGACTTTAACATTCCGGAGTGCCAGCAGATTTCGACTTCCCCTTAGATTTGAACCCCCTGGTCCAAATCCGCAACCCAACAAAACTGAGTGAAACATCAACGTTAACGTACAAGTAGGAATAGATGATGCTTTACGTTCCAGTGAATAGTAAAGTATGTTTTTAATTTAAAACATGCGTATTGATGTTGTCTTTTTCTCAGCATCCCGTCTCAACTTAGCATTTTCGTTAACCCGAACGAAAGCGCTAAACTCTGGATTAAAAACAAACTGTGAAACTTGATAGCGTTTGATATTTTGTTACTCTCTTGAAAAAGGTGTGAAACATGAAATAACATATATGCTAACAGTAATTGTGAAACGCGTGAAAAATTTAATTATTTTCCCTCCAGTGGAATCCAGATTGCTCGAGTCCTCGATTTGCCGTAACTCTTGATAACTCGAACCAAAAGTTGTTCTCCTTCCCCAGTGAGCCCAATTACTCCGACTGATTTTCATTTCTTATGGAGGCTCGAAAAATCGGGAATCCACTGTTCGTGTTCCTTAAAGAAATTATTTTGCTTTGCCCACTACGGTTACATTGAGACTTTTCTATTGTTGGTAAGCCGAGAATGTACTAAAATTTGCATCCAGTTGCTTTTGTGTTACTGGTTATATTCCTCGTGATTAAAAATAAATTAAACTAACAGTCCTTTTATGTTATTTTGTCTGGTTAGTGTTCGGTCGAGTCGATTTACAATAACCTAAAACAGATGCTAGACCAAATAGAAGTTATCAGTTTTCTTTTCTTTTTCTCGAGCATGTCTCAAATAGAGTTCTTCTCTCTCTTGAGCCAAGCACGGAATATAAGGCGGTCTTTCTAACAGTGCCGTTAAATAAAGTCATTACGTACTGACTGATATGACAGAGCACATAGGTGGGTTTTTTTTTTTGTTTCTAAACAGTCTAAGCTCAGGCATGTGGGAAACTTGGAATCGAGTGCTTTTCGCCAAAAGTATGTATTGCAAGTCATTGCTATGTAAATACTAGGTGGGAAACTTTGAAGAAAACGTTTTCACGACGCTCAAAGCGTAAAAATCACATTTATTAAAGTGCTTAGTCTGGTGTTTCTTTTTAACGAAAACAAAGCCGTAAGCACCAAATGCCAGTCAGCAAACTAATTTATCAATACTGCCTTTCATCCTTGACAAATTATCGGTGTGAAGTGATAAATATTTACTAGACCCTAAGTCGCCTGAGGCGCTAATTAATCGTTTTTGTGGAGAAAAGTTCATGTGCGTGGAACGCATTATCGGCACTGAGTAATTTATGTTATCGTTACTGTGTGCTCCACAATTAAATTCAGTTGTTCCGCCTACTGCAAAAGGTTTCATTTTACTTTATCGTTACTCTTGTGCTTCCCTCCGTCAGCGATGACCGAAACTAAAGCTTACAACCAAGTTTTTTTTTCACTATCTCCACCATAGCGAGCATCCGATCGATTTTACGAAAGATCAGAAAAGAAATTTTCGTAAGAAAGCCTAAAAATTCGTTCTCGAGGATGGTGCACTGTTTTTTATTGGCCAGAAAAACGGTCAGCCTTAAAGATGGGTTCACAGCCGAGACGAGCAGCAGCAGATACTGAAAGCTTCTCACTCTGACAAACTTGCTAGGCACTTTGACCGCCACAAGACGAGAGAAAAGGTTTGTAATTAATTCAGTGATGCTTCTCTTGAACTTCAAAATTGTGGTTACAATTTAATTTATCGTTCCTAACTGTTGTTTCTGTTCCTCTTCCAGGTTACATTTCGGTACTATTGGGTTCAATTGTTGGAGGACTGCGATGAAATTGTCAAGCGTTGCGATGTTTGCCAGCGTACTTTAAAGAAATTAAAAAAGCCTTCCCAGCTACCCGATTAAAGCAAAGGAAACTGTGTGGCATCGTATTGGTATCGATCTGGTGGGACCTCTGCCCTAAACGTCCAGTGACAATAAGTACTCGATCACCTGTACTTGCTATTTCATAAAGTGGCCAAAGGTAGCTCCTCTTAAAAGCAAATCGGCTGAAGGCATGTAATATCCGACAGTGATTGTGGAGTGCTGATATGTAAGGATCACTTGTTTTTATAATTATTTACTGTGTTCATTGTCAATCTATCAAGGACAGTAATTCAACATGTTTGTTTTTGAATAGGTGCACGAAAAAATCCATCTAATGGAAGTTCGGTTGAATGAATTTTCTTGACTATAGCCTGTGACAAATATAAAAAATTCGCAACAATTTTGACGAAGCCCAAACTATTTTTTTTCTTTTTTTTGCAAACTGTAGCAAAGTTACTAAATATTGATAATTTTTTTTTAATACTTGCTTGAGTCAAGTTCAAGCTTGGCTTAAAATTGACTCGCTCTAATAGACAAATATTTATAGCGGAAATTGCGATGTCTGATCAGGGCCGAGAAGTCGTTAACAGGGTTAACGAGGAGCTGTTTCAGTTGTGTGACACGGACCACAGGATCAGTTCAGCGTACCACCCGCAGTCCAATGCTCTTGATGAAAGAACGAATCAGAGGTTAACGAGAGCTCTAATGAAGTTCATGAACGACAACCAAAATGACTGGGATGTGCATATCAAGTCCATTCTGTTCGCCTATCGAACCGGTTAAAATGACTCTCCCAGCTTCACACCGTTCGAGTTGATGTTTGGCCGTGCACCCGTGCTACCCATCGAGATGAAAATCAGGTCAAAGCCCAGCAGCACTGACTCACTTTCTGAGAAAGTTGGAGATGTACCCTCTGATTTTAATAAGAAAGTCCGTGTCATGATGAACATTCGCGACCAGGTGAAGGCTCAGGCAATGCAGAACACTGACAAAGCACAACAGCGGCAAAAGAAGTCGTATGATGTAAAGCACCAGCCACTAAGATTCAAGGCAAGCAAAGGAGGCAAACTGGAGGGGGCGTGGTCAGGTCCCTTCAGCATCAACAGGGTGTTAGCAAAAGGTCTCTACAAGCTCCGAAACGAAGACGGTACTATGCTGAAAACATCATTTAACAGCTCAAGGCTGATGATCTACTATCATCTGGTACAGTGACACCCAACACTAACACTACTGTAGTCTCCACTACTGTTAAGAAGTCGACGTTGATGTTGATTTGCATTTGAAAATAAGCTAAGAGTTCCCATAGTTCAGAATAGAAACGTTTTTGCCCCTCATAGTGTCAAAATAGTGTGTCGAAAAAGGCCTTAGCCCGCCAGCGATTCCGAGGTTCGGTGTCTTAAAATTCCAATCAGCATGCGTGTCACGCGTCACGTGTAACATCCTAAGGTGACATCTTCTCTTCTAAGACAGCTTAGGAAAATAAACAATTAGGTTCCAACAAGTAAACAAGGTTCGTTAACGGTCCGTAAGGTTTTGGGTGTGTACAACTACTAAATCGACAGTATTCTATTTTGCTTCAATAAGACGCTGTGGTGGGCTTCGAATCCATAGACTTCTTCTAGCGGGTTGTTCCTTCTGCGGAATATTGGGATGTGATTCTATTTCTGGTATTTCGATACCAGCATCAATGTTTGGTTGCATACAAGTATTTGACTTATCACTGGCTACTGCTTCCCATGCTGGGTATGGGCTGGAGATGTCTCCTCCTCGGTCGGCTGAAGATTGAAGCGATTTCGACGCATCCGCGTTCCATCCGGGGTCGCCATAAGGTACAAACGAGGGGCCTGGTGTTGTTTGACGGCCACCACAGGTGTCCATTCCCGCCCCCGCTTCATTCGTTCAGGTTCACCTTCATGTAGTTTGGAAAGTGGTCGAGTGCCACGGTAATAGAACGCTTTCTGACGTTGTTGACGTGTCAGCAAATTGTGACGAATCTGAGAAGTAGACCTAGGCTGCGGTTGTAGGAGGCTCTTAGAAGTTAGCAGTCTTGTCCTAAGCTTTCTATTCATAAGTAGTTCTGCTGGAGATTCATCCATTCCGGAAATTACAGAATTCTAATAAAGCGAGGAATGCACCCTGTTTGTACTCATCAGCTTTCCTTACCTGCTTAACGAGTCTGTATGTTTCTTTCCACGAGACCATTAGACTTCGGGTAATGTGGACTGGAGGTTACCACTTCAAACTCCCACTTACTGGCAAAGTCCTTAAATTTCACACTGTTGAAAGAAATTTTGTCTCCGATAAGCCTCTCCGAGATTCCATGACGTGCGAACATATCTTTCATTGCCATGATAACTGCTTCACTAATCTTACTAGAGAGGCGAGCTATTTCAGGATACTTTGAAAAATAGTCCACTATGAGCAGGTAGTCTCTCCCTTTATATTGGAAAATATCCGTTGCGACTGTCGCCCAGGGCCTTTCAGGGACCTCTTGAGGAATCAAAGGTTCTCTCTGGTTGCTTGGCTGGTGTTGCTGACAGGAACTGCACTTGGATACCAACTCGTCAATTGCGCTATTGATACCTGGCCAAAATACTGCACTCCTGGCTCGCGCTCTGCACTTCCCAAGGTGTGCAGCGTGTATGCGTTGTAGGATTTCGGGTCGCACGTTGTGGGGAACAGTTATGCGATCACCCTTTAAAATTAACTCCTCGTAGCAGCTTATTTCATCTCGGTAGTTCCAGTAAGGTCTTGTCTCAACTGGTGTCTCTACTTTGCTCTGCGGCCATCCACTCATGATAACTTTCTGCAGTTGTTGAAGTTCAGGGTCGCTCTTAGTCTCGTCCCTCAACTTGTGAAACATAGTCTCAGATAACTGTCCAGAGCCCAGGACACGAATCTCAAATTCATCAGGTTGATCTGCAGCTTGGCTAAGTAAGTAAGCTCAGGAAAGCGTATCAGCTAAAACCAAATGGCTGCCAGGTATGTACTTAACATTGACTGCATAAGGCTTTAATATAGGAATCGTCTTTTAAAGACCGAGAGGTGCTTGATGAATAGGCTTCTTCAGGATTGCTTCCAATGGTTTGTGTTCATTTTCAACTGTAATCTCTCGTTGCCCATACAAATGATCATGAAACCCCTCACATCCCAAGACAATGGCCAGCATTTTCTTTTCTGAGGAGATTGAAGTTTTCAGGCATGTTAATGTGTCATCTTCTACTTGTCCTCAGGACCATTCAACATCTTTCTGGAGTAGCTGGCGGAGTGAAGCACTCTTCTGAGACATGTTTGGGATGAACTTAGACAAATAGGTCACCACACCCAAGAATCTCTGTAAGTCTTCACGATTGGCTTGGGTTGGCATAGCGATGATTGCTTCAACTTTCTTAGGGTCCGGTTTAACACCATCTGCACTCAACACATGGCCCCACATAATGAACTTAAGATACTCGAAAATCGCATTTCTCCCTGTTAAGCTTAAGGTTGCGCTCACGACAGTGGTCCAACACCCATCTAAGCCTTACCTCAAGCTGCTCCACATCTTTCCCCCACACAACAAGATCATCCACAATTACCTGGACACCTTCAATGTCCCGAAACAAATGGAACATAACATTCTAGAAGACTTCTGGGGCCGATGCTATCCCGAATGGCACGCGTCACGCGTAACATCCTAACGTGACACATGGGCTTTACGAACGACTTGTGGTAAAAGCAGTTACTTCGCTCTTGTTCAGAAACTATTTTAATTAATGTTATTTAATTAGAAAATCCGACTGAATTATTTTTGTGACCGGACGCAATAGTCTCCACTATTGTTACGAAGTTTTGTACCAATGTTGATTCGCATCAGAAGAAGCAAGCATTTATTGTAACAATTTCAATAGTTCGAATGCAGTGGTTTGTTCGTATTTAATTCCTGCGTATATTGTACGACTCGCTACAATAAATGTGGCAGAATTGGAACGGAATGGCTGTTTTTCTTTATCTTAATTGAGGAATGTTGTGTCGTCATTGAAAAGAACATCGACAAAAAGCTTCCAAATAGAATTAGTTACCAAATATGATACAAACGGTGCTAAAAGGGAACTTCTGGTAGGGGGGTCCAAATTTGCGAAGGAGGGTCCATATCCGCCTGTGGATTTGGACCTGGGGGTGCCGGAATGTTGAAGTCATGCCGGAATGTTGAAAGCGTGCCGGAATGTTTAAGTCGTGCCGGAAAGTTGAATTAGTTATTTCATTTGTCTCCCAAATTTTATTTGCTCAAGCCTTTCATCCTCATCGTGTAGCAGCTCAAGAAACAAAATGCTGCTACCTGTTTCTTTTTTTTTTTTTACCTTGTACCTCATTACATCAATAAAGTGAATTTCAAGTGAGCCATTTCCATCCCTTCAGGTAATGCGCATCTTTCCTATGTGTGATGTGCCTTCATAAATTTGAAAGAGACGAGGGGACTCTGTGTAACTTAAAAAAGTCGATTTTCAATACCTGTGTATCCATGCGTGTTCTGCATCTTGCAAATAGATGTTCAGCGATAGATATATATTCAGCTTAGTTTGTTGTGCACGAGTGGTCTCCCTAGAATCGATAGATTAGTGCGATTGTTTATCAATCTTATTCATACTAACTTCTGTTTTTCTTTATTTTTATTATTATTTATTTATTTTTATCGGCAACTATTACATATTGACCATGTAGCATAATTTATAGTGACGTTGAGAATGACGTTTTATACGACAGCGTTGAGCGGCAGATGAATAAGTAAATGCTACTCAAAAATATCAACAGGGCTTGTGTTTAGGCTCATATAAATATTTTATATGTACAAAAATACGTGTTGGGATATCCAAACACGTGTGTTTGGAAATCAATTAGCAAAGGAATGCAATACTTGAACAAATGCTCGTTCGATTGTTCGGACGAACTTTGTAAGGCAGAAGTCTACGGAGAGGCTATGCAGGTCCTCCAACCTTTCTTCAAGACTTTGCACAATTTTTTTCACACTCCCCGGCTGAAGTAAAGGATATGATGTTTTCCGCGCGAAGCTTGCTAATTTTGGAAAACATCAGCAGCCCACTTCTTTTTGTACTGTACTTTTGGACTTCGAAAGTTCGAGCATAGAAACGTCCTTTTCGCTACTTTTGGTGGTCGAAACCGGGAAAACTTATCCCGGCGTAGATGCTTCATTCCACTTTTCAAATTGCGACAGGAGGTCAATGCAAAGAAAAAGAAAATTCGTGAACAAGCAACCTCATAAAGAAAAACAACGACGACAACAGCGCTGCTTCATCAGACATTTTCTGCGATAAATAACCCTTGTATTTGTTTCTGTTAACTTTTATTTATGTATCGCATACACACTTGGAGTAAGGAAAATGCTTTTGTTTTTTAGGTAAATTAGTCTTGCATTATAGCAACACCTTGGGGGGGGTCAATGCTTGGAAAAAAAACATGCAATCTTAAGCCACCAAATCTGTTCGTTCTCTACATCATTTCATTTAGGGATTGGGTTGATTTTGCAAACCATATCGTAATTAGTTCTTTTGTTTTCATTTTAGAGGAGAGGAAGAGGCAAGAAGGTAATTTATTTTTTATCTATTTATTTTGACCGTGTTTCAATATTCACTCTATGCACTACACGTTGGATATGTATGTATGTATGTTTGATAACAGCAAATATACTCAAGAATATATTGAGTTTCAATTCCTTTATTTGATATTATAATAAAGTTCGGATATAACGCGCGCTGTCATTGGTTGGAAGAGCGTGCTCTATGAGAGTATAGAGCATGGACCTGAGTTAAAGCTGTCACGCCATCTGCCAGATTGTCTTATGTTGGACCCCTTCCGGGACTTCTTTTTAGCTTTTTTCCGATAATTGAAAGTGAAATTTCGGAACAAGCGGGACGGCAAGTAGCAACAGAAGAACCAAACAAAGGTTTGTAAACATACCAGGCGCCGTAATTTGAGCTATTAAAACGTGAGCAGATTCGAAAATCCTCAAAGGAAAAGCAAAATAGACATTCCGAGTTTTAAAGATTTTTCACGCTCAGTTAGATTGCAAGCTTGCGTACGGTAATAAAAATCAAACACAGCTAACACTCGTGTAGTATATAAAGTTCAGTGTTAAAAAACAAAGCAGAACAAACCAGAAATGATGAAAAATATATAACCAAACTGGCATAACTGTTAAATTTCATACTAACCATGACGGTGTCTGAGTGAATATGATAATGCTGAAGCTCATCGCGGCTCCGTCATCACGGCGATGTCCAGCCATCACAGTAAAGCAAGCCTCAGAAACTACATCGGCCGCCCTTCGAGTGAAAAATAAGAGCTTGCCCTAATATCCTTTCCGATGCGTTGACTGGAAAGTCACATCAGCCACTGCAGCCGAGTTTTGCGGCGCTGTCATCCTGAGCGTTTCTTCATGTTCCGGTGAATTCGGCTGTCGTTCATTCAAAAAACACTCGCCTTGAACAGTTTGATTTCTACCTTGTCATGTGAAAAAACTCGCGAGTTTTTAAGAGCCATAATTCGGCTGAAGTTCACTGAACATTTCACATCAAGATTCTGTATTAGAGACTTAAAAACTTCAGGCAAAAGTGTTAAATTTGAACTGCTGAACTATTTTAGTTTGTAAACTATCGTAGAATGTCAACTTTGATGGTTTGACACGTTTGACAGCTTTAGTCTTGTACAGCCAATCAGAGTATTTGAACCATTCCAACAGGGATTCTGATTGGCTTATTGTAATGTCCTTTATGAGAGTATAGAGCATGCTGACGACACTTTTGTTCGCTTTGGAAATAAAGTCTGTTTTGAAAATTGAAAGTAATGCTTGGGGAATTTAACGGATTCTTTATTATAAAACAAATGGAGAAGTTAAACAATTCAGCTTTATTTCTAAGTATCAAGCTGCGTTATTCCAATGTGTTTTCTTTTTGTTGTTGCCATTGTTGTAAATTTACAATACGATGCTTAAATCAGGTTAAGTCAATAGAATGTGCTATTTAACAAATAGAGAAGCCTTGACTTTGCTCTGTTCTGTTAAAAGGCACACAGGAAGCGGCTAGAGCACGAAAGAAGTGTAGGGAGAAACACTCGACTACGTCTCGTGTTTCTCCCCACTTCTTGAGTGCTCTAGCCGCTTCCTGCGCGCTTTATAACAGAACAGAGCAAAGTCAAGGCTTCTCTATTTGTTAAATAGCACATTCTATTGACTTAACCTGATTTAAGCATCGTATTGTAAATTTACAACAATGGCAACAACAAAAAGAAAACACATTGGAATAACGCAGCTTGATACTTAGAAATAAAGCTGAATTGTTCTTCGGCTGGAGGGTGTGCATCTCTGTAATACCCTCCATAGACAGAGCTTAGCTGATTAGGCTTTAAAGGCTGATATCTGTGTGATACAACCAGCTATTTACGGTCAAATTTTACCCGATAACCGTCATGGAATATAATGCTGAGACTGGTTACATAGTACAGTTAGCGCAATCAGGTCGTTTCTTAACTTCAGCAGAATCTGACTTAAAAGTAAACTCATTTTGAATTATACATTGGAAGCGCCCGTAGTCAATATGAAACTAGTTAGTCATTCTGATTGGGATCAATTGAGAGAGATCGCCCGGTTTGATCCCACGCAATGAAAAATTTGCGTGGAGCGGAATGAGCGAAGATCGTTATTTTGGGACAATGTCGGCGATGAAATCGCAAATAGCCTTTTTGGACCGAAGTTGTTCGATCAAGATGGGTGAAAGGTAGGCCCTTTTTTTCTTTTCGTTGCGTTTCTGTGGACCTCAAATTCGTCTCGTTCCATAAGAAAAGGCATGTTAAAAAATCAGCCACGCTTGGTCATTAACACATATAATCGCTATGTTGCACTAATCACCATTTTTGAATATTTTCAAGTATACATATATGTATATAAGAAATATCTCACTACATGACTCTTTGGGAAAGAGAACTAACAACACCAGAAGAGGGAATAGCATTATATTTAAAGACAACCTACCCCTGTTCAACTTACATAAGACAGCCACAAGTTATTATTCCCGCTAACGCATGATTTAAAAATTGCAGCCTCACTCCCTTTGGAAATTTATGCTCGAGGTCCCCAAGCTGTTAAGGCATATGACAAAGCCTTAACGGGGGGAAAGGCCTGCATCAAGAGAATACCAGTGATGTTGATCGGACAGGAGCGGACAGGCAAAACTAGTCTAAAAAAGTCCTTAAAAGGAGAAAATTTCAACGAAGAAGAGGAAAGCACAGTCGGAATAGAGACTGACTCTTTGTACTTTAAAGTATCAACAGAGATTTGGAAAAGCGGAAAAGTTAAGGAAGAAGCAGAATTTGAGCACGAAGATCATTTTGAACACCTTGCAGCAGCGAAAGTGATCAGTGAATTTTTAAGGGGACGAAAGGCAAGTCCAGCGTGGTTTTGGCTTAAGTCGGATTCTGAATCAGAGTCAGATTCAGAGTCAGAGTTACAGCCTCCGGATGGATCAAGCTCAACTCTTGGCCCAACTAAGCCCTCACAAAATATCGAATCTTTACATGGAAAATTGCCCGAGGAAGTAGCCAGGTTAGTTGAAAAAATGCTTCAAGAGGAGGAAAATGCAAACCACGAAGATAACATCTACTCAGTTCTGTGGGATTTTGGTGGACAATCAGTGTACTACGAAACACATCCAATTTTCCTTACGGAGAAAGCTATCTACATATTGGTGTCTGACTTGAGTCGTGATCCAGACGAGAAAGCCATCCCACCTGTCAAAACAGGACTTTTCGAGAACAAAGCGGACGTTGAATGCAATAAAACAAACCTTGATTATCTGGACTTTTGGATGTCATCAATTTTTTCCTTGGTAAATCCAGATGTTCCAAGCTCTCAAGAAACCGCTCCGAATGCTCGTCATGTTTTGCCACGGAGGCTTCCCCCAGTATTCCTGGTATGCACCCATGCTGACGTGCCGTTTGGTGGATCTAACGCCAGAGACCTTGCTCTTAAAATGTATGGTTTTTTGCAGCGCAAGACGTACGAGGGACATCTGTATAAGGATGTGTTCGTCGTGAATAATACAAAGTCTGGGAGCGAAGAAGAATGTATTGAAGTTAAACGACTGAGAGAAGAGGTTCTTGCTGTCGCAAAGGAACTACAACTGACGAAAGAAGAAATTCCGGTGAAGTGGTTGAGGTATGAAAACAAGCTTCGCAAAAAGCATGACAAGTGGATAACACATGAAGAAGCCAAGAGGATTGCATTTGAAGACTGTGGAATCCAAGAAGATGATGAGTTTTCCACTTTGTTGAATTTTTTGCATGATCAGAGAATTGTGATTCATTTTAGAGGCTCTCCAGAGTTGGAAAGGACGGTGATATTAGATCCTCAGTGGCTTGTTGATGTCCTCAAAAACGTAATCACTGTAAGGCGTTTTAAACACACGGAGCATCTTGTCAAAGACCTGTGGATCCAACTTGAAGAAACCGGAATCTTGGATGAAAAGCTCATTGACCATGCTTGGAGAGACTTGCTTGACAACCAAGAAAGTCACAAGAGCCTCATTGCCATCATGGAGAGATTAAGCTTGCTTTCCCTTTGGCCGTCATCTAAAGATAGTAAGCAGTACCTTGTACCGTCCATGTTGATGTCACCCCCAACAGATGACGTCCTAAAGCTTCTCGACTCTGTAAACATTCCATCTCTTTTTTTAACATTTGCATCAGGTCGAGTGCCTCCTGGTCTATTCTCCCGACTTATCCTACTTTTCCTCCAATGGTCTGGCGAAGAATGGAACAGGGAAATGAGCCCACGGTTGTTTCGTAATTTTGCCTGGTTTCACATTCTTCCAGACCAAGTTATCTCCGTCATTTTTTGGTGCCATGCCTCAACAATCGAAGTCGCCATTTACAGCGGAGACAATGACAAGAAAAGAGCAGATATATCCCGTGCTGTTCACTGGAAATTGAGGTTTATACTTGAGTGCATGCGGAAAGAGTTTCACTGGCTCAACAACGTGAAGTACGATATGTGTGTCTGCTGTCCGGTCTGTTCTCAACCAGGGTCGGTAAAATGCCGCGGTCATGGCGTGCGTGGATGTGAATGTCTTCACTACTTGTCAGAATCTGATTTGAGAAAGCGTCAACATTGCAACAGACCAGCACGCAACCTTCTTGGGGATTGCAGGATTCGGGTCAAGCAGTTTGAATGTTGGTTCTTATTTGGAGAAGAAGAGGAAGGTGCCGGAATGTCAACGAATCAGGTACTTTGCCAGTCTCATCCTCTTCCTTGGGTGGATAATAAAAGACGCTAGTACTTTTTATGTTCAATGTCATGTCATTGGTTTAAGGGTGGATTTAATTTGATTTTTTAGCAGCTGCAAGCTCTACACGTAACAAGTCATGGAGGCTTCCTCAGTGCGAAAGGCATAGTTTCCATAGAAGGTAAAAGGTCCATATCTTTCATGTCATTATATCATAATAACAATGTCGTACTTAAAGAGAGAGCTGACAAGATCTCTTCTCGTATAATTTTAGAGAAATTTGCATACGTTTGTTTCTATTAAAAGAGACTTTCAACAAACTCAAAATTTTTGGGCGTAAGCAAAATACACTCTCTCTACTTAACTCTTTCTTATTGCATTTAAATTCGTTTTTCGTTATTTCCAATTCGTTCTAAATCATTTTCAAGGAACGAAACGGATAGATCTTGCGCTTCCTGAGAGTATCCAAACGTCCATCCAGTCCACTCCACTCAACTCAGAAAGTGATGTGAAGGATATTGTGATTAAGTTTCGAGAATCTCTGCAGTTGGAACCAGCATCTTTCGACAGTCCGGAGCCTGAGACGAAAAAAATGATTCGTGGCCTTGCCTTGAGACCTAAATCTGAGAAACGGGATGACTTGGTGAGACATTTACGAGAAATTACACCTGCTGGTACTACTGGTGAGTTTAAGAAGATGAGATTTTCTTTTTCGCACGGGGAGGGGGATAAGGTTTCTACACAAGCGTCCTCTCGATGTATCATTAAAATAATGTCAACGCGTGCTAAATTTTATTGTGTAGCTGTATTTTTTGTTGTTGCTGTTGGTGCGCTTTTGATCTGCTTTAATTTATATGTATTTTTGTTTTGGTTTTAGGTTTTCGAAAAAAAATTCTGCTATATTAATCTTCTTTTAGTGTTTGTTTGTCTCTACAGGGCCGTTGTTGAATGAAGATATGTCAGTTGGTTGCATGCCATATAAACAATACGAGGATTTAACGTTCAGCCTCTCGGGTAAGGAACTAGGTTGGCGTCCGCACACCCATTTATTCATAAACTAGTTGTAACCTTTGTGTGAAGTCATAGGTTTTCGTCTCTCGACTCTGAAAAGGACTCTCGAAAAAACTCGGGCCTTGACAAGATTCGATTCTACATATGCGTTTTCAGATTATATTCCGGCTAGGTTATTTCATAGCCAGCTAAACTTCGTCAGCTTTCGTCAAAACCCTTTCCAGAAGGATGAGCTGCCAATATCTAGACGAAATTTGGAGGATATCGGGCGCCAAGAAAATGTGAGCGATTAATGCCATTAGCCCATACGGGCAACAGTACAGTTCGGTTGTAACAAAATTTATAAAAGAGCATAATATATTTTTCCTCATAGGTGGAGACGAGTGGAAACTGTTGGCAGAAAGGCTAGGCTTCTCCCAAATCCAAATTCGCTTTCTAGACAAGAGAGTTACGAATCCTTCTGATGTCGTCCTCGGCGCTGTGGGAAAGCATCGCCACCTGAGTGTTAGAGAAATCTATGATACATTAGTCGAGTGCGAGTTACCAGCTATCGCAGATCTAATGTAAATTAGAAAATGAATACCGGAAGAAGGCGAGTGACACAGCAAGAGGCAGAAGCAAGAAGCAAGGTAGCAGCCGAAGACTTATTTGCGACAGATCTAAGGAAAAATACACTTCCTGAGCTGGGAGTCGATAAATTATGCGTTGAGGCGCGTTAGCATTATTTGAGTAGATTTATAGTTGCTCATAATTGTATTTTGGTAAAGTAAGAGAAAAAAACCTTTAAATGTAGATTTTCTTTGAATTTATATTTTCGTTGTCCTTGCCAGTAGATATATCATACAAATGAAGTTATTATGAATTAATCTGGAGTAGTTGTTGTATTTGAAACGGAGAAACTACGGAAAAAGGACCGAGGTTGACTTATCTCCACTAACAGAGGTATAGCCTCGGATAGGGCCTGGTAAATAGCATGTGACCGAACTTCTACATATTAGAGTCATGGCCTTTAATTCAAGTAGATTTCTGTGTATTCTGGCCAGTTTCATGAAATCTTTTCAAAAGTACCAGTAAATCTAATTCTTATTTCTAGCGAAAAACAAATTTTAACATGGTGAGGACATGCTGAAATAATATAGTTTTGCATTACTTTTTATGTCTACATAGCTGTGGTTTTGGTGCTAATTTTTGTCTTTCGAACACGAACAACAAATGTTCATTTTATCGGAATATTGCTACAACATGATAACAGGGATTTACGGCGCAGGGAAGGGATGGGATCCTCCGCTAAATAGTTCAAATAAATAACATGCAAGACTCGTTTGAAATCTAGTCGTAAGCATCAAGTGTTTCCTTCCTATTAAGCAATGACAAACTTTCTTGAACCGCGGAACTCGAACGAAGTGACAAGGTTTCCTTATACATGTAACATCTGTATTGGTATCCAGTTTCCATATTTTCTTGACAAATACACTGTTAGAAAACAATGAATCTCGTAGTTAGTAACGCATGTACACTCTGAAATTCCCTTTTTGGTTTGATAAAAGAATAAGACGGATTTTGTTTCAGAAAGAAAAAAACTTAGTTGAACATTAGATTAACCTTTCAGATTGCAGTTATCCATCTATACCCTTGGGTAGAGAAAGACGTTTTGAGAGTGAAGTACACTATTGAAAAAACAATGATTTGTTGTAGTAAGTAATGCACACCGAAATATATTCGATGATCGGTTGTGCATGAATTAATTTTGAGTGTAACTGCTGTGGCAGCACATCTTACCTCCGTTTGACCTATATGTGTATGCTTTGTATGCCAAAGTAAATTCAAACTAAAATCGTGTGTGTTTTAGCTTATCAAGTGATGGAATGAGAAAATTAATAAATCCTAATTCGCTTGAAGAAAGCGAAAGATGTATCTAATTGCTCCTACCTTCCCTGGGACGCGGCAGACCAAAACGAACGCAAGAGTCGCTTCTTTTCCCAATGATTCGACTGTTCTTCCTGTAGTGTGTACTCGATGAAGATGGAATTCTTTCATAGGAACTGTTACATTTGGAGCAGTTGACATTGGCTGCAAGTGGGCTTGAGTGACAGTCACCAGAATTATCATCCAGAGAAGCGCAAGATATATGAAACAAGAAATCATGATCAACCCCACGTTCTGTTTAACTAAAAAATGTTATCCAGACGCCAAGGCAGCGTATTGGAAATTTGCTTATACCCCACTCCCTCTCCACCCCTCCCCCCCTGAACAGTCAATGATCATGCAGCCAATCAAATGAGGAATATATCTAAATTTCGTCAGCGCAAAAGCTATCGAATTTCTTGCCCTTTTTAATTGCTTAGATACGAGAAAGTTCTGATATATTATTTAGGGACTGCGATTGATTGTAAAAGCGAAACATTCCCCAATATCTTGCATCAACCTTACTTCGTTTGCGTTTTGGGATAAGCTGTGATTCCCAAGTGTCTACCAACAATGTTTTTACCTAAGAATTTCGTTGTATTTATGCTGATGGTTTTGTTCGTTATCGCTTCTGATTGTGATGCTTGGCGAAGGCGTCGTCGACGTCGATTTGTCTGTACTCCGCGAAGCTGCGAAGTTAGTTATTGGTCGACCTGGAGCACGTGCAGCACGGATCAGTGCGGGCAGCAAGGATCCCAAGGACGATCAAGAATTGTACAGTCCTTGCCAAGTTGTGCGGGAGCGCAATGCCCCGATCTAAATGAAACACGACTGTGTTATGGAAATAAACCGGTGAACTGTCACTTAAGCCATTGGTCGTCCTGGAGTGCGTGCAGCACGGATCAGTGCGGGAAGCAAGGATCCCAAAGACGATCAAGAACTGTAGAGTCCTCGCCAAATTGTGGGGGAGCGCGATGCCCTGATCTAAATGAAACATGGCTGTGTTATGGAAATAAACCGGTGAACTGTAACTTAAGCCACTGGTCAGAATGGAGCGCTTGCACTACTGTGTGTGGCGTATCAGGGAAACAGACAACTTCTCGCCATAAAACGAGAACAGAAAAATGTGGAGGAATATGTACGTCCACCTTCTATAAAACACGAGCCTGTCGTCTCACGAGTTGTTTAAACGGAGGAAGTTTAGGAGGTGAAACATGTTTCTGTAAGAAAGGCTTTGGTGGCAATTGCTGTGAGAAAGAAGGTAACGAATATTTAGAGTTAAGCAAATGTTAGGTGTGTGCTAGCTTCCTTATGATCAAGTGGGAAGACATATGTCTTACTGCATTCATAACCTCTTAATCAATGCCCCGTTTACCCTACGAAGGATAAGTTTAGAAGCACTGTCAGAGCTCGTTTCCAAATAATAATCCGGAAAAAACTGATCACATAAACCCAAATATTTCAAAAAAAATCCTTAAACTGGATAATTTTTTTTAAAACGCAGACCAAGGTTCAAATTCATGAATTATTCTCTTGCGCTAACCTGGGATACATAGGTTATTTCGCCAGCTTCAGTTTAACTTTATCAACAATTTTCATTGCCTCGATCGTTTTATTGTCTTTTATAGATTCATCTTTGTCGACGGGTGAAATTTGTGGAGTAGTCATTGGCTCAGTCGCCGGGGTGTGTCTTTTTATCATCCTACCTATTAGGTTATATCTAAAATGGAAAGAAGATCGAGTCGCAGCATTAAAGTAAAGTTCATGTTTGTAGTCTACTTGCAGCTTTGAAGTAACCGACAGACATTCCTTTGTCTCCTAAGGAATCCCTAAGGCACCCCTTGTATCATAAATTGTTTTGAGAAGAGCAGTTAACCATGATATTATTGCTCAGATGATTATGGAAGGAAAAATAAATTACCGAGCTCCTAAAAATGGCCCCTACGTGACTTGTTTATCTTCTTTCTTGCGATGGTTCAAAACTCAGAAATAAAACAGGATACTTTTGATGTAAATGTCACACATATCAGTTATTGTGGGTTTGCATAATTATATAATGACTGTATATTATTTAGTTTTAGCAAAGTCATATTGTAGAGAAAGTTTGTCAGTTTTAATGCGCTGATTGCATTACAATAATCAACATTGTGTAACGCTGTTGAGCTCTGCAGGTAATTTAGAGTTAACAACTGAGTTAAAGACGTAAATTGGCTACCGTATAGAGCTCGAGTAAAAAAGCTGACGTTTCGAGCATTAGCCCTTCGTCAGAGCGATTGGAGGAATTGTAGGTTGTGTGTGGGTTTATATGAAGAAAGTGGAGTTACGCTATTGGTGTTAGTGTGGTGACCAGAAAACAAGAATAAATTAGACATGGTTTGATCCTACTCTGGTTAAAAATTTAACGAAAGTAACCAAAGAAGTTACAATTCATAGACCCAACGTTTCGACACTCCTGTCTAGTGCCTTCATCAGGGGTGATCTAAACGCTGCAACAAGAGGTCCTTTTATACGATCACTAATTAACTGCCTTTTTTCTGACGAGGTGTAAATAGGCGTCAGGAAGTAAGCCGGCGTCATCACAATTTAAAGGAGCGTAGGTGGAGTTAATATGCCACGCTTCCAAACAAAGGCGCTGGTGGTAACGCCGATTAATGGAGATAATTTTATACTAATCCCACTCAATTGTACAGTTAGTTAAGCATGTGTGCTCCGATAAAGCTGAATTTTCTTTTTCCGCAAAAGAAACCCGCTTTTTGATGCTCTTTCAAACGTGTACCAAACTGACGCTGGGTCTGCCCGATGTATTCGTTGTCACGGTCATTGCAAGGAAAAGAATAAATGGCTTCGGTTCGTTATTCTTTCGAGACAGGATCCTTAAGTTTGGTAAAAATATGCCCCAAAGATTTAAAAGGTTTTTGAGCAACTTTAACGTTGTGGCAATTCAAAATTGTCCTGATGGTTCAGTAACACCCTGAATGTAGGGAATAACAGCAAAGCCAGTCGCTGGTTCCCTTTCATCGAGAATGTTACAAGTTGTGACTGGTTTCTGGCAGTTACGGAGAAAATTTTTTACATAGCCATTCGCCTTTAAGACATTAGAAACATATTTCCTCTCCTCAGCCTTCGAATCGAGTGAAGATGGTGGGCAGTCAGCCCTCCTGAGTAAAGTGTTGGCTACAGACTTTTTATGGCAAATAGGGTGGTGAGAATCAAAAGCAAGGTATTTGTCGGTGTGGGTAGGTTTACGGTAGACACATGTCTCTAAATTCCCTTGAACCCCTTCTTCTCAAGGGCAAATGTCTATCCTTTTCACGCTGAAGGGTGAATTGGATAGACGGCGATAGGAGGCGCTCCGCTTCATTTCCGGATACCGCAGAAGTAACATCATCAACGTATCGTTTCCAGAAAAAGGGTTTAACCGCTGAAGTGGCTAAGGCCCTTTGTTCCACGTCTTCCATTACCATCTTCCATTACCAACTGGGATTTTAGTGAAGAGCGAAATAACGTCGAAAGATACTAATTCTTCACAAGCGTTAAGAGTTTTATCTCGTGTGAAATCCGCGAATTCGCAGGAATTTTTGAAAGCATAATCAGTATTCCCAACAAAGGCGACAAAATTCTCGCAAGATAACCAGAAATTGCATAAGTCGGAGAATTAACAAAAGAGACAATAGGTCTCAAAGAGATAAGAACGTGGACATAAGCCATCACAACTGTATAACATTTTGTACGTATGGTCACTAATCTTGACAGCGTTTTTCAAATCAAGCATTATTTTATTGATTATTGATATTGCTGTTTGTCCATGACCACAACACAATTACCCTTGTCAGCAGATAATACGAGCCTGTCCGGATCCTTTTTAAGAGCTATAAGCGCATTGAAAACATCCTTTTGAGTTTTAGCACGCCTGAGTATGCTGCCTACTTCGGCTCTTATCAAGTGCCTACGTTCGTCGTTGAGTTGAGAGATGCTCTCCTCGACAGCGGCGACAATTTAAGCAGTCGGTATTTTGCGAAAAAATTGGTTGGATGAAAAGCGTTCGTTGATACCGTAAGGATTAAGAGTGCCGATTTGGAAGATAAACTTTTGTTCTAGTGTTTTGCGGCTCTCCGAACTGCCTAAATGTAAGGAAAGGCCGGAAACTGCGATATGTTGTTTAGAATGATTAGGGAAATTAAAGTGTCTAGCGACTGGTTTGGATGCGTCCTTGTCATTTCTTTCCACTTCGCGAAGGTGCTCTCGGAATCGGTCAACAAGTGGTCTTCCTGTTTCACCAATGCATAACTTATTGCAATAAGTGCAAGCTATGCAGTAAATGACGTTGGCGGAGGTGCACGTAATGTTGAACTCTACAACATTACAAACATGAAATTGATATCATGATGGGCACAAAAATTTGCTCTATAAAGGAAATTGTAAATACGAATCATTCCTCTCATGCTGAAAAAAGAAACCGGCTCAATTGAGCAAGGCTCAAAAAATGCTGAATATGAATGAGGAGGTTCGTCGCCAGTAGCTCCATTTTGCTTTGAAGAAGCTCTGGTTCAACGCGAATAACAAGCTCAGAAGGATTTCCTGAATGAATTTTCGGATCAGATCTCAACAGTCTGTAAAGCATGTACATTAACAAACGGAGTAAAACAGTACAACCTCCCCCGATCGCACCTCCGCTTGAGTTTGTCATGGAAATTGGACTCCTAATATTTGTCATCTCTGCTTACCTCTGACGCTCCAATCTAATCAGTGAGGGAGAGTAAATTAAGATTTGATGCAATTAAGAAAAAAATAAAACAAAACAAAGAGTCCCGTTAAGAGTATCTTAATTTAACAGCTCGCCATTTGATGAACTTCACTAAAGCAACAATTTCCCGCAGATGCCTTTACGTGTCACATATCTAAGACAATCCCCTGCTATGTAGCAACTTTGTACGAAGCTGCATGTAAGCTTTTTCTCACTGCGTATATTTTGGGAATTTTTCGTTACGGCAAGCGTGACTTTCCGTTTCAGCATCTAGGAAACGATATCTTACTTTACCGGAATTCAATAATTATTGTTACTTATGGAAAGGAAGTTGTAAGGATTACTTTGTAAGGATTACTTTGTAAGGATTACTTTGTAAGGATTACTTTGTAAGGATTACTTTGTAAGGATTACTTTGTAAGGATTACTTTGTAAGGATTACTTTGTAAGGATTACTTTGTAAGGATTACTTTGTAAGGATTACTTTGTAAGGATTACTTTGTAAGGATTACTTTGTAAGGATTACTTTGTAAGGATTACTTTGTAAGGATTACTTTGCAAGGATTACTTTGCAAGGATTACTTTTTAATCTACTGGCGACACTTGAACATTGCAACCCGATAGACGCTGCCACATGCGATTGGGTTATATTAACAAACCGAATTTCGTTTTTCTACCAATAAGGAAGTGGTTAACTTTTAAATTGTAAACTTTGGGTCCACGTTAAATGGCGTAACAACACGGAGATTAAAACTACGACGTGTCATATGACCCCTGTGTGTAGAACGCAAGCTTTAGAATTTTGAATACAAATGTTACTTTGGCGAGGTTTCTGTTTACTGTGTTGTGTTTTGTTACTGCATGTATTTACGGACATATCTCTGGGGGAGGGGGGGGAGGAGAGCTAAAACGGGAGAAGATTAAAAGACCAATTACTGTATCTCACTTTAAATTGGAATTGTTCTTTGGTAGATCTGGAATTTGTAACGTTGATTTCAGTCACTTAAAGTACCAAAGCAGAAGACATGTACCCCTTGATGCAGTTTGCGTGACTTGTATATGGCAGATAACGACAGCGTACTTGGCCAAAAATAGGAAAAAAAAATGTCTGTTATTGTGGCTGTGCATAGTTAAATAATAACAACACATCAGCATAATCAGATCGTAATGAAGACTCATACAGCAGATTGCATTACAGCCCAGAGCTCTACAAAATTCTAAAAAAGGCACAAGGAATGACACTGATATCATAATATGCCAAAAAAACCTCATCTCATTAAGAATTTGTGAATACAATTAATTTCTTTCCAGCAGAAAAACAAATCGGCTCAATACAGCTGGGCTCAGAAAATGCTGAGTATGGAGGAGGAAGTTCGTCGGCACTAGCTCCATTTTGTTTTTAAGAGGCTGCAGCTTCAACGCGAATAACGATCTCGAAAGAATTACCCGGATGAGTTCTTGTATCCGATCTTAGGAAAAAAAGCTGTAAACTATGTACATCAGGAAGCAGAGCACGAAAACTCTACCGGTGGACCCCCCAAAATCAATT